TCTCTTCTCTTCTCTTCTCTTCTCTTCTCTTCTCTTCTCTTCTCTTCCCTTCTCTTCCCTTCTCTTTCTCTTTCTCTTTCTCTTTCTCTTTCTCTTTCTCTTTCTCTTCTCTCCATTCCATTCCATTCCATTCACAATCCCTTGCTGTATGACATACACATGAAGAAGTGTTGCATTCTTCAGTCCTTTTCATGACCACCATCCCACTAGACATTTTGCAATGAAAAGGGGATGTTCAGTATTGCTGTATAGAAATAGCCACATATATTAACAAATGTTCACTTGTTCCAGCAGCTCTGGTTTGAATGCCCATGAGGCCATGTTGTGCCACAGACTCCACAACTGATGTTAGCTGGAAGATCTCCAGGATGTGAAGAAGAATGGAAGCAAGAACAGGACCACGACTCTTCATTACATTCTCCATAATATATTTTTGTTAGATGAGTAATTTTTCAAAACAGGTGCAGGTTAGAATATATTGTAGGAGAGACCATGGAGCTCATGTTTAAGCCATATTTACACTGTAGAACAGGGGTGTCAAACCAGGGGTGGGATTCAAATTTTTTAACAACTGGTTCTGTGGGTGTGTCTTAGTTTGTGGTATGGCTTGGTGATCATGTAACTGGGTGGACATGGCTTGGAGATCATATTATTGGCTGAGCATGGCCAACTCAATATCACTCACATCGAGGCACGCATCTCCTCGCCTGGCCTCTCATGACTGTGGGGATGCTGCAACAGTCGTAAGTGTGAAAAATGGTCATGTCACTTTTTTCAGTGGCATTGTAACTTTGAATTCCAGAGACATTCCTGAGACAGGAAGTCTAGTCCTGCCAAGAATGTAATAAGGGTTAACGTAGAGGCACTTTCCGTAAGCAACACCAGAATGTTTCCTTCCTGCCTTCCTTACAGGATTAGTCCAGTAATTTCTTCTAACAACAGGTTCTCCAAACTGCTTAGAATGTTCTCAACTGGTTCTAGCGAATAGGTGCAAACTGGTAGAATCCCACCCCTGTGTCAAAGTCAATTTCATGCTTTAGGTCGATAACTTTAGGTTATGCTTGTGCTATTCTAATCAATTTTTTTTTTCAAAATGGGGTGGGATTTTGTAAATTATTATTATAAGTTTGCAAGGGACGAAAGGCATTATTTCCTTTTCTTAACCCTGCAGGGAAAAACCCGTGCCAGCCTCCAAGGTTGGGCTGGACTTAAAATGCTACATTTCCTCCCAAGACTAAATCAATAAAGACAGTTCGAGTGTTGCTGAGAAGCAGGAAGGACCAGAAGCATCAAGAAAACCTGCTCCCAGTTGAGAGCCGAGACAAGAACTAGGCAAAAGCAACTGGTCTGTGAGAGTCCAGGATGGGGAACTGGGCCATCAACCACTGGTTTTCGGCTCTGGTGATTGTAAGTTCTGCTTCATTATATCTGGGTCTGGATGGAAAGATAGATAAAGGACAAAATGGAGGGCCAATAACCTACTTCAGGGGGCTGCCTTTAATGTAAAGCAAATAAATGATTCGCAAGAGGTTCCTGGTTCAACCTTAGTTTAAAGAATGGTACCAGTTTCACCAGTTTGGGATGAAGATGGGATGGAGTAGCAGACACCACAGCCTGAAGTTCTAAAGTTCTACTCAAGATAAATCAGGGTGAACAACCTTTGATAGCTAATAGGTTTTTAAATTTACTTTAATTTTTGTTATTCTCTGTTATTTCTAAATACAGATACATAGGTAGATGATGTCATCATGTGCTGGCCAATTTGGCTTAAACATTTTTAGGGTTTTTTCTAGGTTGGGAAACTTCTGAATGCATTTAGAGTACCAAGACTATCGGTCATTTCTCTGTCTCTGTCTCTCTCTCTGTCTCTCCGTCTCTCTCTCTCTCTCATCTAGCTATCATCTATATATATCATATGCCTGCCTGCCTGCCTGCGGTTCTCTCTCTCTCTCTTTTATTTCTGTTTCAAAAGTGCCAAGAAATCATACTGTTGATGGTTGGCACCTGAAGGCTGACAAACCACCTCTGCCAGCCTTTGTGATTACACAAAATCTATTGTGATTTTGTCTGATCAAAGTCTTCAGGTCTGTGCCATCATCACCCCCCTGGTGGCAGTGGAATTCCAAAACTCTGAATGTTTGAAAGTGTTATAGATAAATGAAATACATCATTAATGAGACTGTCTCCATCTTGTATCTGAAAGAGGCTACGGGACAAGATTAAATAATGAGAGGGTCAACTAAAAAGATACTCCTTTGGTCTTTTTAACTGTCAGAAAAAGGGAGTGAGGGAAACCAAGGCATTCCTTAAATGCGTAGATAATCACCCCCGTAGCCCAAAGTTGTCGAAACATAAGAAGGTTATTGGGTTGCCACAGAGATAAACATGCTGTGGTTACCAACTCCTGCGGTTCATTCCTGTAAGACTCTGAGGATTAGCAGGATCAACAACTGAAGCCTTACACATGTCAAGAAGAGAAGATGACTTTGGGAATGGTGGGGTTATTTTTAAAACTGAGATTTAAGATGTCACTTGTGGTACAGTCATCCTCTGACAACACCTCATTCTTCTACCACCTCCCTTTTCTGTCTTTTATCCTTTTTCTCAGTCTACTCTATCGTGCAATCCTAAGTGGCATTAACAGAGGGATACAGTCAAGATCTGTAAGGTACTAATGCCACTCTATAAAGCCTTAGTAAGACCACACTTAGAATACTGCATCCAGTTTTGGTCACCACACTATAAAAAAGATGTTGAGGCTCTAGAAAAAGTACAGAGAAGAGCAACCAGGATGATTAGGGGACTGGAGGCTAAAACATACGATGAATGGTTGCAGGAACTGAGTATGGCTAGTCTAGTGAAGAGAAGGACCAGGAGAGATATGATAGCAGTCTTCCAATATTTGAGGGGCTGCCACAGAGAGGAAGGGGTCAAGCTATTTTCCAAGGCACCCGAAGGCCAGACAAGGAACAATGGATGGAAACCGATCAAGGAGAGATTCAACCTGGAAATAAGGAGAAATTTTCTGACAGTGAGAGCAATCAACTCATGGAACAGAAGTTGCTTTCAGAAGTTATGGGAGCTTCATCATTGGACACTTTCAAGAAGAGATTGGATTGCCATTTGTCGGAAATGGTGCAGGGTCTCTTGCTTGGGTGAGTGGGGGGGGGGGTTGGACTAGAAGACCTCCAAGGTCCCTTCCAATTCTGTTAATCTGTAAACTGTGCTGAAGCCTGTTCATGTCAGCCAGCTGAGCTTCTGTTTCCTAACTCTTTGTTGAAATGTGGGTGTGATGAAATAACAAAATGCTACATGCCTTTGAAGCATGGTATAAATAAAACCAATAATCATATCAATGACCTAGTTCTTTTCATGAACAGAATGAGGGAATTCATCCACCACGAAGGAAATGGTACAACTTGGAGCCAACGTTTCAAGTCATGAAATTTAGTGAGAGGCCTGTCTGTCAGCCATCCAGGTCATGGTTGTTCCAAAGGGGCTTTTCCAGTTGCCTCCTGAAAAAGCACCATTGGGGCAACTACGACTTGGATGACTGAGAATCTTGACAGATTTTTAGCTATACAATTTGGGATGAACACCCTTGGAATGGTGTGGGAGTAGTAGGAATGGATTTCCAGAGGAAAAAATTGGAGACTCCAGGAACCAGTTGCACTAACTCAGGTGACCCTGAGGACATAGATAAACCTCCAAATGGCCTCAACCACCCTTCAAAAGGATGCAAATGACCAGCTGTCTGCAAGAAGTATCAATCCCTCCATTCCCCACTATCCGGTCAGAGTTGAGGAAGCTTCTTGGATGAGAAGCAAAACCTCTTCAAAGAAAAAACAAAGTCCAATTGCCTCCTGAAAAAGCACCTTTGGGATATAGTGAGAGGCAAACGACTATCTACAGGTGTATAGGGAGAATGGACAATAGGTTAAGGATCTGGTCTTGCAAAGAAATGTATAGGGGTTTCTGATAGCTATTTAAAGGTATCCATCCCATTACATAGATTTTTTTAAAAAATCTCTGAGATCTTGTTGTGGGATACAGCAAAATGTTCATCTTATAAGGCATTGCACACCAGAACAACTAGACACAAGGAGAGTGTCCCACTTCCTACCCCCATGCCATCACTCTGCTAAACAACTAATTCCCACAACACTGTCAATCTATCTAGTAGGGCTGTATTACAATTATTCATCTCATCTTTCCTATTATCTTATTTTCCTTATTTTCTTATCACTATAACTTTGTTGCTTATATCTTATGATTTATATTGATTGTTTATTTAGTATCCTAGTCTGATTTACATGGATTGCTTATTTAGTAATCTAGGACTATCACTAAGTGTTGTATCTTATGATATTTGATGGTTATGATCATGATTTATCACTTGTTGTTTGTATGTACACTGAGGGCTTATGCACTGGAGACAAATTCCTTGTGTGTCCAATCACACCTGGCCAATGCAGAATCTTCTCTTCTCTTCTCTTCTCTTCTCTTCTCTTCTCTTCTCTTCTCTTCTCTTCTCTTCTCTTCTCTTCTCTTCTCTTCTCTTTCCCCTTCCCCTTCCCCTTCCCCTTCCCCTTCTCCTTCTCCTTCTCCTTCTCCTTCTCCTTCTCCTTCTCTCTTTCCCTCTCTCAAAATACTGTGGCAAATACAGCCACAATATTGCCACAACTGTGACATTTATTATTATTTGGGTGTGTAATTTATTATTAGAAGAGTAGGATGAAATGTAGTTAGTCTTATTCTTTCCTTATTACTTGCAACATATTTTTTTCTCCTGCTCATTTCCTCATACTCTGCACTGCAGGAATATATTTTTTAAACTAATTTAAAAAAAAACCCACACATTTCCTCTTCTTTTAAAGTTATGAACTTTGTTCATGTTAGACTACATGGGCTGGATGGGGAAATGAGTTAATGGTTCATGGAAGGATTTTAAAGTTTGCCTACGGAGATCCAGGATCATTTCGTTAATGATTTTAACTAAATTTGCATTTGTTCTTATGAGCTGCTAAGCACGCTATGTGATGACAAGAAGGCTTTGCAGAAAAGCAGCTTCCTTATCAGATGATCTAATTAGGGAAATAAGATATAGAAGGAAAAAAATCTTGCAGAATTTTGTCTTCCTCCCTCCCTCCCTCCCATGTCCTTATTTTTTCTTTAATTTCCATGCTTTTATTGTATTCAAAAATGAATAAATAAAATTTAAAAATGCATGCAAACCAGCCACATGTGGTCATATACAAGAATGGGCAAAATGTTGATCATCAGTTACCCAAAAAGAATGCTTAATATTTGTAGATCTCTTGCAAGAACTGTGATCTGAACTCTTATGTCAATTTCCTAGACAATGCTAAAACTTGTTTAGCTGATTTGTGACTTATCCGAATTCAGGCAAGAAAACAATTCATGGTTGGTATGTTATCATGCACACTGATGTTTCTCCCCACAAATACATACATTCAAATACTGTAATTAATATATAGATTATCTCATTTCAAAATATTCCTGAATGTAATTGTCTTTCTTGTCAATGAATGGCTGATATTGTAAAACTGAACACATGAAATGATTTTCCCCCCTTTCTTCCTTAGGCTGCTTGGTTAGCATTGAATATATACCTTTTTCTGACATATTTCCTGATATTTGATAGAAGTGAACAGTACTATTACACCAGGCAGATTCTTGGGGTGAGCATCATTTTGGCATCTCATAAACTTTTGATCTACATGCGGTAGAGATGAAAAATCTTTAACTTAACTGGGGGGAAAAATATATGTTCATACTTCTTAATAGGATTAAATTGTACTTATGTTTGCATCAACGTATACAGGGAGTCCTCGGTTTAAGACCACAGTTGATCCAAAATTTCCATTGCTAAGCAAGATAGTTGTTGAGTGAGTTCTGCCACATTTTACGACTCAGTCGTAAAATTGTAGTCGTTGTAGTTGAATTAACTAGGTTTAATTCTTTAGTTTTGGCTTGTCCCTCAACTATTTTATCCTGGCCTGATCACTTTTTTTTTTTTTTACAAGTGATTGTTGCACTCCATTTAAAGTCCTTGGGCGTTCCTCAAGTTATATATCAAGTTGTGGAAAATGTATATGAAAGGGAGAGTTGATATACTCAATTTCATGCACAGTGAATGACGTATCTCAGAGTTGGCTACGCCCAGGTTAATGCTGGACGTAGAATGTTAACTTCAAATAAATCTTTTTTAGTTTTGGGAGTGTGGCTCGAGACTCATGATTTCATCGGAGTAACTGCCGGAATTCTGACAGCCACATCAGGGTTGTGTTTGACCTTGAGGGGGTCTGGGGTGGGCGTGGCTGGGGTGGGCGTGGCCAGCTCAACATCACTTCAGCCGCAGTGGCCTCCTGCAGCCCTCTGCCAATGAAAATGGAGCTGGGGGGAGCCCCACATGGGGCTCACCTGGGCTCTGTTTTCAGCCGCAATGGCCTCATGCGAAGGTGAGATAGGAGGCAACACAGAACTAAATCAGAATTCTGCTTCTCCTCTGGTAATAGTGATTTGCAAACTAGGGCATACACAACCTTTGCTAGACCAATACTTGAATACAGCTCCGCTATCTGGAATCCACACTGTAAATCAGACATTAATACAATTGAGTGAGTCCAGAAGTATTTTACAAGAAGAGTACTACACTCCTGTGTTTGCAACAGAATGCCCTACACTACCAGACTTGAGGTTCTAGGCTTAGACAACCTTGAACTACGCTGGCTAAGATTGGACTTAAGCATAGTACATAAAATCATATATTACAATGTCTTACCCGTTAATGAATATTTCAGCTTTAACCGCAATAACACAAGAGCACACAACAGATATAAACTTAATGTAAACCACTCCAAACTTGATTGCAGGAAGTACGATTTCAGCAACAGAGTGGTCAATGTCTGGAACTCACTACCTGATTCTGTTGTCACCTGTTCAAACCTCCACTCTTTTACCCTCAAACTAACCTCTATCGACCTCACCCCATTCCTAAGTGGTCTGTGAGGGGCCTGCATAAGCACACAATCGTGCCTACCGTCCCTGTCCTTTTGTCTCCAATTATTCGTACCTATTTCATGTATTTAAACTTATGTTTATTCTGATTTCTATTATATTGTAAGTGTTTGACAAAATAAATAAATAAAATAAAATAAATAAAATAGAACCAGAGACTAAAGACAGCCACTCTCTAGAATTTCCCAGGGTACATCCATGAAGGAAAGACTAGTAAAAGTTTTGTCTGGCAAGATTCTGTCTATGTAGTATATGCAAATTTTTTAAAAAAAAACCCTGAACATTGGCTGCCTTGTTTTACTGCATGACATTTTTGGGCTAGACCTGACAATATTCTTGCTTTAGGAGCTGCAATATGGTATATAAAATGATGCCCAAGTGGTCTTCTCTTCTCTTTGCCTTTCTAGTCTGCGCTGGCTTGGGCTCGGGCATCGGCCAAGTGTCTGAACTTCAATAGTATGTTGATCCTGTTGCCTATTTGCCGGAATCTCCTCTCCTTTGTGAGAGGCACCTGTCGGGTGAGCAAGAGGCTAAGATCACAGTATGGTGTACTTAGTCCTGGAGGTTGGGTGGGCACCGGGAATCCAGCTGGTTGCTAAAAGATTTTAACAGATTTAACAGATTAACAGAGTTAGAAGGTACCTTGTAGGTCATCTAGTCCAACCCCTGACCAAGCAGGAGACCCTATACCAATTCTGACAAATCGCAGTCCAATCTCTTCTTGAAAGCCTCCAGTGATGAAGCTCCCATAACTTCTGAAGGCAACTTCTGTTCCATTGGTTGGTTGCTCTCACTTGTCAGAAAATTTCTCCTTATTTCCAGGTTGAATCTCTCCTTGGTCAGTTTCCATCCATTGTTCTTTGTCTAGCCTTCAGGTATTTTAAAAAATAGCTTGACCCCTTCCTCTCTGTGGCAGCCCCTCAAATATTGGAAGACTGCTATCATATCTCTCCTGGTCCTTCTCTTCACTAGACTAGCCATGTCCAGTTCCTGCAACCATTCATTGTATGTTTTAGCCTCCAGTCCCCTAATCATCTTGGTTGCTCTTCTCTGCACTTTTTCTAGAGTCTCAACATCTTTTTTTATAGTGTGATCTTACTAAGGCTTGATAGAGTGGTATTAATACCTCCTTTGATCTTGATTGTATCCTTCTGTTAATGCAGCTTAGGATTGCATTGGCTTTTTTTGGCTGCCGCTGCATACTACTGGCTCATATTTAACTAGTTGTCTTGTGGAAGATTATAAGGGGTATAATTTATGTTTGGATCCTGTTTCAGAAAGGTGGAACATCTCCATTTCCAGATTAAATGACAAGGAAATAATCGAGAGGGGAATAATGGCTAGAACGTTGACCGTGGACAGCTCTGCAGATGGTTTCCATTCTATAGCCATTGAGACTTGTTCTGTGGGATCCTGGGAAATACAATTTAGCAAAATTTGAAGGGCCACAGAGAGCCTAATTCCTGGAATAAAACTCATTTAGAAGTGTTTGTTCACAGGAGACAACCTGGGACCCGGGGACTGTATGAAGTGCTTCCATTCCTTTTCCTCCTCTCCTTCCTATCGGAAGCTAGTAAAGTTTTCCAACATAAGATGTGCCTCAAAACAGAGCAACAAAGAAAAGGGGTGTCTTGATGTCCAACTTATGACCAGGAATGCTGGCTAGATGGCTGACCCAGCAGACCTGTCCTCATGTTTTATTCTCCCACTATTGAATAGTTCGTCTGTTTGTGATTTTTTGCTTTGTCAATTCAGTGTTGCAGGCGGACCATGCGACGGCAGCTGGATCATAACCTGGCCTTCCACAAACTGGTGGCTTACATGATTGCTATTCATACAGGTAAATTCATATAGGAACCTCTGTGGCGCAGTGGTTAGAGTGCAGTACCGCAGGCGACTTCTGCTGACTGCCGGCTGCCTACAATTTGGCAGTTCAAATCCCACCAGGCTCAAGGTTGACTCAGCCTTCCATCCTTCCGAGGTGGGTAAAATGAGGACCCATTTTGGGGGCAATAGGCTGACTCTGTAAACTGCTTAGAGAGGGCTGTAAAGTGGTATATAAGTCTAAGCGCTATTGCTAAACAGAAACATCTGGGAAAGTTAAAAGAATTCTGTGGAAAAGAAATGAATTGCAATATTATGAGGCTGCCATGCAAGTGCTGCCCTTAAATTTGCAGCACAATAGCATAAAACTCACCTTTGTGATGTCATGATGTATCTTTTGGTGTTGTGGGGATGAGGATGGAGGCCATGTCAATGTGATTTTCTCCATAATTACATATTAGCAGGCAATGGTATGTTTCTGCATTCACGCTGAACACTGGCTTGCTGAATCATGGTTAACTGAAAACATCACAATTGATTGGGCACACCTAGGACACTGAACTATCAACCCTGATTTGCAAACTAATGCCCAGTGTTTGGGTTCAGGGTTCACACAAGATACTAAGCAACAAAAAGGAAAACCATGTTGTTACTGCTTACTGTGCTGACTGAGTCCCACCTTGGTGCTTAGTATTAACTGTTATAACTTAACTGGCTCTTCTTAAAAATCAAATTGTTTTTACAGTTCTGAGTCAGAGGTGATATTCAGCAGGTTCTGACCAGTTCTGGAGAGTTGGTAGCAGAAATTTTGAGTAGGTGAGAGAACCAGCAGATACCACTTCTGACTGGGGATTTTACAGTATCCTTCCCCTGCCACGCCCAAAGAACCGGTAGTGAAAAAAAAATTGAATCTCACCACTGTTCTGAGTGCTCCTTTTTACTCAAAACCCAGTGTGACTCATTGTCGTTTCTTTTTCAGAACTAACAGTTCTTGAACCTTTTCACTTATGCCCTTTCAACTCTTAGTTCAAATTATTCCACGTTATGATTAAGATGTATGGGTTATTAAAAAAATTTGGGGTCAATCCATCGCCTGGGTTGGTTGGTTTTTTTTTTTTTTTAATTCAATAAATGGTTTGCCTTGTGCTCTCTTCAAGCCATTCACATCATTGCTCATTTGTTCAACGTTGAGTGGTACATCGATGCTCAGCAGAAAACGGACGAGAGCTTGCCTTCCATCCTGTCCCATCTTCACAAGACGAATGGTTTGTGGTTAAATCCTATCCAGTCCAACTCTACCGTAAGTGTGTCGCTGAATCAATAATCTACTTCTGAAAATAAAATTACTTGAGAGCTCTCGTCTAAATCTGATAGTAACAGGAACAATCTGATTTTATCTGTAACATTGGTTCGTGGAATTTAGGAGGATTATCTGTGTTTTTTAAAAACCTGGATACAAAATATGAGGTTTCCTGGACACCAATGCTTTCTTGGCAGTCTGTTTCCCCCTCCCCCCATGTCTTTGGCTGAGTTACACTGGGTCGATATTCTAATTGTCTTTTACTTTAAAGGATTAATATCCTAAATATGTGCATCAAACAGCATTTTCTAATTGTCTTTTAAAGGATTAATATCCTAAATATGTGCATCTAACAGCATTTTTTTTTTAAAAAAAGGGAAGATGCCATTTTAAAACCTTGTTTAAATTTTTTGGTGAGTTGCTTCGGGTACGTTTTAAAAAATGGACACAATTTGTTTTTGGTGATTATTTTTTAAAAGGATGTTTGAGTTTGATGGTCATGTTACAGTTTTGTTATATGGGTCAGGTTTTTTATGGGATTGAAATTCTCCAGGTTGGGAGGATGCCAGAGGTTGTGGAATACACCCCAGGGACGTGGTCCATTATGTCTTTGTGTGACTTCGCCTTGCTTGCTCTTGCAGATTCCTTTATACGTAGCATTCACCACCATTCCAGGCCTGACGGGTGTGATCATCACTTTGGCGCTTATTCTCATGATCACATCTTCCATGGAACAAATACGAAGAAGCTATTTTGAAGTCTTCTGGTATACCCACCATCTCTTTGTCATCTATTTTGCTGGCCTCGTCATCCATGGCATCGCGTAAGACTACCAATGCTTTAACAGATGGCAGGATGGGCTAACTCCACACACACACACACACACACACACACACAAAAGATGGGTTAATTATTTATACACACCACTGCATACATACATACCCTGAAAATAAGACCGAGTCTTATATTATGTTTTGCTCCAAAAGACGCATTATGGCTTATTTTCTTATTAGGTCTTATTTACGGGGAAATACGGTACTAAATGCATTTGACAGGCTGACAATCTTAACTGGGGCTTATTTTAGGGGGTAGTGCTTATATTACAAGCATCCTGAAAAATCATGCTATGCCTTATTTTCCAGTTGGGTCTTATTTTCAGGGTACATATGCATACATACACACACACATCATTTAGAAAGAAAGTTTTAGCCACTTTCATAAAAGAACTAACATCAATTAAAAAAAAGAAGAAGAAAGAGAAAGGGGGCAGAGAAAAAGAAAAACTGAAAGTGTAGAAAAAAAACAGATAAAAGATATGAAGATGAATTAGTAAAATGGGTTAATTCTGATGCACTTGGCTATTTTTAACTGGGTGAGAAGAGCAACCAGGTTTCTGTTTTTCACCTTTGTTTTATTTTATAATTATGCAATATTTTATTATATAATAATTTAAAATTTGTTGTAAAAGCATGATAGTGTTTGGATCCTGTGGTATTTATAGTGTTGAGTGGTGATTAACCCTCTGATGTTTAGACAAAGCCTTAAAAACAAAGAAGATTAAATTAATATGAAACATGGTTCCTAAAATGTTAACGTTGATGTTTAAATTTTACAGCTGGAGTTAAAGGTGGCATTAATAAACAGCTGTAAAATACACCCAGTTCTTGCACAATTGCAGGTATCTGCAGGGGTGGGATTCAAATTTTTAATAACTGGTTCTGTGGGCGTGGCTTAGGTGGTGGACATGGCTTGGTGGTCATGTGACTGGGTGGACATGGCTTGGTGGTAATGTTATTGGCTGGGTGTGGCCAACTCAACATCACTCACATCGAGGCACGCATCTCCTCGCCTGGCCTCTCATGACCGTGGGGATGCTGCAACAGTCGTAAGTGTGAAAATGGTCATAAGTCACTTTTTTCAGTGCCATTGTAACTTTGAATGGTCACTCCACACAAGCAAAGTACCATCAAAGGAGGGGGAAAAAACTCCAGAGACGTTCCTGAGACAGGAAGTCTAGTCCTGCCAAGAATGTAATAAGAGTTAATGGAGAGGCAGTTTCTGTAAGCAACACCAGAATGTTTCCTTCCTGCCTTCCTTACAGGATTAGACTGGTAATTTCTTCTAACAACCGGTTCTCCAAACTGCTTAGAATGTTAACAACCGGTTCTAGCGAATAGGTGTGAACTGGTAGAATCCCACCCCTGGGTATCTGCATTTTGAAGGCTGTGTTAGGTTAAGCTAACAATACTTGTGTGTGACACATAATTTGGAATAACAACTGCAATTGTTTCACTACAATCCTAGCAGCCAATGTAAATACATGACATAGCCAGTAATTGTATCTGGAATTCCTCCCGCCCGCAGAACAATGAGTGATGGATTTTAGAAACTTCTGGAAGTCTCAGCTCTAGCATCTCTTCGGGAAAAAAAAAACAGAATGAGAGGGGGGGGTATGTGAAAGACAAAGAATCAGACAATATATTAAGTAGCAGTCCAGAAGGTTTAGTGCTCAAGCCTATAGACAAAAATCTAATCAACTGAAGTTCAATTCAAAAACTTTTTATCCTGTTTGGGCAGGGGGTTGGAGTAGATGGCCTATAAGGTTCCTTCCAACTCTGTTAATCTGTAAATAATATGTAAAGAATATTAATTGGCAACAGATAAGTGTCCATGCAATTCAAGAAGGGTTGGACTTAAACTGTTTGTGGGAATGTAATGATTCTAGACTGATGACTTGTTTAACTCCGCCCTCCAGCTCTGCCTTCTCTTCTCCTATAGGATGAGGATGGACAAGGCATTGTCATAGCAAGCCATTTTCTCCCACTACTTAGCCACTGAATCCCTTTCAGAATTTCTCCTGGGAAAGGCAACTATTTAGAGGGTGCTCTTTTGTGTCCATAGAGGTCTTGTTCGTGGGCAAACGGCCGAAAGTTTGATGAAGAATAACCCCAAGAAGTGTGCGCATCGCCATACCCAATGGGGCCGAAACAGCAGCCATCCCTATTGTGAAGTGCCTGAGTTTGGGAGTATTCCAGCTGAGGTCAGAACATACATTGGTGATGGGTAGAGTGGAGGTAGATTCCCAAGAGGGAAAGATGCATTCCAGAGGAATAAGAGACAACTCAGCTAGGATATCTTGTGTGAGAGAAAGAGGATGAAGACAGCACTTCCCTAATAGTTCCCAGAGTATATCGTAGATGCCGATAGTAAAGTCTTTAGTCTGGCCAGATTCTGTCTATGGGGGTGAAACAATGAAAACCTCAGCTGGGAAGAATCACCAAATGTCATTTTGGATGTTGGCCCTGAGTGCAGCACCTGAGAAGGATTCAGGAGATCAGTTTTGTATGCAGCCACCTTATCTTGGGAACTTCCTCCACTCTGGTTCATCTGATAGCCATTAGCAAAAAAATGGAAAAGCTCTCCAGTCTAATGTAGTGAAAGAGAAATGAGTCCTAAAATGGGAGTGGTTCAATTGTAATACTATCCTTATCTCATGAAAGAAGACCCCGTGAGAATTTTTGCTTTGGATTGGTTGAGTCAGTTGGCAAAGCTTGGCATCAACCAATGTGTAGTTGATGTTAACAGACATTTCATCCACCCAGCCCCACCCCCAAAAGCTGAACTTCCTATTACACTAAACCAGGGGTGTCCAACCTTGGCAACTTTAAGACTTGTGGACTTCAACTCCCAGAATTCCTCAGCCAGCT